GTTAGAGTTGGGGGCAAAATGAGTCGAAATAAAAGGAGATTCTGAATTAGTTGTAAAGCAAATAATGAAATAATACAAATTTATTAAGGAAAACTTGATCATGTATTTTGTTATAGTAAATCGACTGATCAAGTGTTTCAACTCTGTGGATATCCAACATATTCCTAGACTTGAAAACTACGAAGCAAACGAATTGACACAAATTGCCTCATGGTATAAAGTGCCTAAGGAAAACTTGAAGGACTTGATTGAAGTACGAGGAAGGGTAAAATTAATAAGACTTTCTCAATCAGGTCTAGCACTAACAAAGCTTGGATCAGCGGATCCAGAGAATTTTGAGATCTGTACTATCAAAAATTTGGCTGACACTGTTTGGAGGATACTTATAGTTAATTACTTGAGGAACCCAGTTGGATCAACATAGTTAAAAACTAAAATAGATTTAAGAAGTTGTGAAGAGGAAAAACGAAAAAAATGATATGTTTTTTTAATGATAAATTTGTAATATTGTATAATTTTATAATAGTTCCTAAAAATAAATTTATAAACATGTTTTCAAACCCTAAAATCTCATTGGAGTATGGATAAATACTTTAGATGATACTAATAGAAGCGACATAAGACCACCTCCAACGGTGGTTTTTCAAATTGGTTTGCCAGCTTGGCATTGAAATTGTCAACAAAAAGTTGTTCCAGCTGGTGAACGTTACAAACATAAGCAATGGTTCTTCATTTTTTATTATTATTAAAATAATCATTTAGCCGTTGTGCAACGACTTTATTTTTTTTTAAACTTTTTTTATTTATTATAAATATAGGTTTGTTGGAAAAATTGTATACCAATCCTATTTTTTCTCACTTTTATTTACACTTTAATTTCAAATTTCTCTCTCACAATTTCATCATTTTATTCATAAATATTTGATTTTTTTTCCAACAATTTCTTCTCATTATCATTTTATTTCAAATTTTCATCTTTTTATTTCAAATTACATTTGTTTAGGCCAAATGGATCCTAATCATTTTCATTATCAACAAGCTATGTTCAATTTCATGCAAAATTATCAAAATCCTAATTCTCAAAATTCTCAAATTTCATCAGTACCACCAAACCCCGCCATGTTTTTTCCGTCACCAAACAATCCAAATATGTATCAAAATCCTAATCCTCAAAATTCTCAAGTTCCACTATTTTCTACTCAAGTTGGTGTTGAAAAAGAAGAAAGGGTTCTCGTTAAAAAAAAGTCTCGAGAGCAATTTACAAGGGATGAGGATATATGTCTTATCCAATCATAGCTCAATGTTTCAAAGGATCCAATTGTGGGAGTTGATCAAAAAGCTGAGAGTTTTTGGCATAGAATCGCTGCAAATTATAACCAGTATCGCGGGCAATTGCGAGAAAATTTAAGGGGTCAATTAAAATGTCGATGGCATCGAATAAATGCGTCGGTTCAAAAATTTGTTGGGTGTTATAGACAAGCTGTCAATGGAAAGAAAAGTGGGACATCAGAGAACGATATCATGGCTGCTGCACATGCTTTTTATGCTCAAGATCAAGGTACAACATTCAATCTTAAGTATGCATGGCGATTGTTAAAAGATGAAGCTAAATGGGGCATCATCGGAGAATCGATTGGAAATTCTTCAAAAATGACACAGACTTCTGCTAGTGGGGCATCATCGGAGATCCCTGATACACCTTCAAGTTATGAGTTTAACTCATCATCACCAATGGAGCGTCTAATGGGACAAAAAGCAGCAAAAAGGAAGGGTAAGGCAAAGGAAATTCCAAATGCAACGCAAGATGCAAGGAATAAAAGAGCAGAAACAATGGAAAGACCCTCGCAAAGTAAAGAGGACGAGATAGAATTAAAGGTCATGCAAATCATGATGAAAGACACTTCTACTATGAAAGAAAGTCAACGAGAGATTCATGAAAAATATTGTACTAAAATGAGAAAAAAATATGGACTGTAGTTAGTACCACTTTAAATTATATGTAAAATGGTCATTAGTACCACTTTAATTTATCAAATCCTATGTAAAATGGTCATTAATACCACTTTAATTTATCAAATCCTATGTAAAATGGTCATTAGTACCACTTTAAATCATAATAAATATTATGTTATTCAAACTAGCCGTTATTCAAACTAGTCGTTATTCAAACTAGCCGTTATGAATAACTAGCCGTCATTCAAACTAGCCGTTATGAAAAACTAGTCGTTATGAAAAACTAGCCGTTATTCAAACCATTATATATACTACCACTTGTGTCATTGTTTTCTCATTCTCTTCTTATTCCTCACTAAAATATGGATTCAGACAATTCAGATAATTACGATCAAGAATTTTGGGAGTTAGTTGAAGAAGAATTAATGGACGACAGTGATGAAGAACAACATCTTCAAAATGAATGTCAATTTGGAAGTTCCTCTAGGCCAAAGAGAAGAACTACGGTAGATCGAGGTCGTGAAGAAGGGCACAATCGGTTATTCAATGACTACTTCTCAGAAAATCCAGTATACACAGATGTACAATTCCGAAGAAGGTTCAGAATGCATAGGCATGTGTTTCTTCGAATTGTAGATGCCCTCGGCAATCATGATGAATATTTCCAAATGAGGGTCGATGCAACGGGTAAGATGGGTCTTTCACCATTGCAGAAATGCACATCTGCTATTCATATGTTGGCATATGGGTCTCCCACTGATATTGTAGACGAATATGTTCGAATCGGTGAAAGTACCTCAATTGAGTGCTTAGAAAGATTCGTTAAGGGCGTGAATGTTGTATTTGGGGCTGAGTATTTGCGAAAGCCTAACAACACTGATATTGAACATCTTTTACAAATGAGTGAGTCACGTGGCTTTCCAGGTATGTTGGGTTCCATTGATTGTATGCACTGAGAATGGAAAAATTGTCCTGTTGCTTGGAAAGGACAATTTTGTCGAGGTGATCATGGTAAACCCACAATCATGCTTGAGGTTGTGGCATCACAAGACTTATGGATTTGGCATGCATTTTTTGGTATTGCAGGTTCTAACAATGACATTAATGTGCTAAATCAATCTAACGTGTTTAACGATATTTTGGAAGGACATGCTCCAACTGTGCAATATACAATCAATGGAACACCATATAATATGGGGTATTATTTAGCGGATGGTATATATCCTGAGTGGGCTACATTTGTCAAGACCATTTCAATGCCGCAGGGAGAAAAGAGAAAATCATTTGCTCAACATCAAGAATCAGCTAGAAAAGATGTGGAGCGGGCATTTGGAGTGCTCCAGTCTCGATTTGCAATTATACGTGGTCCAGCGCGTGCTTGGCACATGGAAACCCTCAAGCATATAATATATGCTTGCATCATATTACACAACATGATTGTTGAAGACGAACGACACACATATGGAGGTGATTTTGATTACTCTTATGATAATGTAGATGACAACAACTCAACAACTGAAACATTTAACGGTCCCCATCCGAATCTTGCAACAAGGCTACAAAGAAGAGCAAATATTCGTGAAAAACAGGTTCATCGCCAACTTCAAGGAGATCTGGTCGAGCATATTTGGGAACGTTTTGGACATGAGGAAGATGAAACTTAAATGACGAATTATGTGATTTTATTTATTTTTATTGTTTTTAATTATGTGATGTTATTTATTTTTATTGTTTTTAATTATGTGACATGTATTTAAATTTAATTTTAATTATTATTTTCAATTTTATGTTTAATTTTAATTTTATATTTAATTTGTATTTATATTAATTAAAATTTAAATATTTAAATTATAATTTTAAATAAAATAAATTTAATATAAATAATATATTTTAAGTAAAGTGGTGGGACCTAATATAAGTTCTTTGGAGTTGCACTGTTAAAGTGAAAATTGAATGAGTTGTTTTAAAAGAGTGGGTCCTACAAAGAACCTAAAAATGAGTTGCACCATTGGAGGTGCTCTAACATATTCAAAAGTATCCCCCACATGAGGTTTGTGGTGATCCTAAAGAATGTACTTCCAATTATATTTGAATGAGAATATTAAGATAATTCCCAGAGAATAATTTAAATACATAAATTATTATCAAATTAAAAAAATACCAACTTAATATTTAATTTTATGTTCAAATAAATTTTAAATTTTGATCATTTGTAATCTTTGTTTTACATAAAATTTAATATAAATAAATTATTGATAATTATAAATTCTATTGTTAAAAAAATTATTTTAATTTTTAATTTTCTTTTCTTGTGGTAGTCTTACTTATATAAAAGACTTTATTTTAACCAACATAATACGAAAAAGTTCAGAACATGATTTGTCATGAAAAGAGAACTTAAAAGTCATTTTCTTAAACATATTTTTTTATATATATTTAATAGTTTAAAATAATATTGTTGTAAAAAAAATATTAAAATAAAATAAAAATTTAACTTTGTCAAAAGTATACGATTTTAAAAAGTTTACAACTTTCCGGATAAACTTTTTAATATAATTAGTTTTTAAAAATTAGAATACACGGTACAAATATAAACATGAAACACTATAATTAATTTTGATCTAATTATTTTATTTAATATAAAAACTTAATTTTTAACCACTACATATAATCTTTCTTTTGTATGAATATTTTTAAAAATATTTAATTGAAATTACCAATGATCAATTAAAAATCTTATATTAAAAGAAGTTAGATGACTCCAATTTGGAGATTAGAGTTAATATGACATTTCTTATGAACCGGACAAATTGAATTATAAGTGTTAAATTTTACTATATAAGTGGATCTCTTAACTTCACATTACCCTCAAAATTAATACACAGTACAAGTTTTTAGTTGTCTAAGTTTAGGCAAAATTTATAAATGGTAATAAGAATCCTAATGTAGCGCGTTAAGATTTGGAATTAAAATACCTTAGCCCTGTTACTGGTTGCATTTTATTCACGCTTTTTCCTGTTCTTGTTTGTGTGCATTTGAATAAGAAAATGTCTACCCTTGTTCTACCTCCTGTTCCTCCTTCCCCTAAAGACGATGTCGTTCAGCTTCACAGTGCTTTCAAAGGTATTTCATATCTAGTTTGTTTCTTTTCCTATCATGAAATCATTTTTTTTAACAATTCTATGTATGCATAATTTGAGAAATAGGTTTTGGGTGTGATGCTAGCGTTGTTATCAATATACTTGCTCACAGAGACGCTGCTTAGCGTGCCTATCTCCAACAAGAATACCGATCCATGTATTCTGAGGATCTTATCAAACGATTGACTTCCGAGCTTACTGGCAAATTGGAAGATGCCGTTCTTCTTTGGATGCATGACCCTGCCGGACGCGATGCTGAAATCCTCAGGAAGTATCTAACCGTGACCAAGGTTCTTGACACCAAGGCTCTTGAAGCTGCCACTGAAGTTATTTGTTCCAGAACTCCAGCCCAACTTCAATATTTAAAGCAGATTTACCATACTAAGTTCGGCACTTTTCTTGATCATGATATAGAAATAAATACCTCTGGGGATCACAAAAAGGTCTTTCTTCTTTCCTACGCCATTCCTTACGCACTTTCTCTTGTTTATTTTTTGTTTTCATTACCTTGCCCAGCTTTTACTTGCATATCTAAACACGCCACGCCACGAAGGCCCTGAGACTAATAGAGATATGGCTGAGAACGATGCCGTGGTTCTGTATAGAGCAGGTGAGAAGAAACTCGGAATAGATGAGAAAATTTTTGTGCAAATATTCAGTGGACACAGTGCCGCACAATTGGCTCTCATAAATCAGTGTTACAATACCAAGTATGGACATTCATTGAAAAAGGTATTCTAAACCATACTCTTTTATCCTTATCTAGCTATTTTTCCGGCACTTATCCATGCTCAATTTATACCAGGTAATCAAGAAGGAAACATCAGGGCATTTTGCTCATGCACTTTCCACAATAGTCCAATGTGCCGAGAATCCTGCTAGGTATTTCGCAAAGGTATTATTCCCTTCAACAAAAACAATTCCTCATCTTGTAAGGATAAGGATCCCTGGTGGTGAAAGTATGCTTTAATCTCCCTTAGTTTTATTGAATGTATGTTGAAGATATATATTAGTAACATTGAAAGACTGTTAGTAATGTGGTAATTGGTTATGTTTAAGCATTTAGAGCTTCTTTTAAGATTTGGCATTATGTACGCAGGTCCTACGGAAGGCAATGAAGGGGTTGGGAACGGATGACACAAAGCTTATCAGGGTGATTGTAACAAGGTGTGAGATTGATCTACATTATATCAAAGCTGAATATTTAAAGAAATATAAGAAGACACTAAATGATGCAGTTCACTCAGAAACATCCGGCCACTACAGGTCTTTTCTTCTCGCACTTTTAAATCATAAAGCAATTAATTGAATTTAAAAACATATTTTGTTTTTTTTAGAAACCTAAAATCCCATAGGTTATTTTAAATGCATTTATTCAATAATAAATTAGTTTTGTCATCTAAAAACGGACAACATCGCAAAGTTTACCTGATATTTCTGTATAATTTTGATTATAAATAAATTCGCATTTAGAATTTAAAAAAAATCATTTAAAATTTTTTTTGACATTAATTTTGATATTATGATTAACAACATAAAATAATTATACTATAATAGCTTGTAATCTAGTTCCAGAAGAAAATGTTTTAGCATAATCAATTTGATCCTGTCAGCTAATCAAAATTTGAAGTGGGTTAGAGACAATTGCCTATGATGGTGGGTGTGAGAGAGGAGGAGGGGTGTATCTGCAAGACACTCTAATACTAAAGTAAGAATCGGGAGAAATAAGGCAAGTAAAGAATATGTGTGTATCAGGGTCAATATTAGATACCTGACCCTCTCAAATGAGAAGGTTTTTATAGTGCCCCCAGCGCTTGGCCATTGGTCCCTATTTTCCGGGCGAGATAACTGTTTCCCGAAGAATAGCTAACTGTCAGAAACTAGTCGTTGGAACGGGCAGAGGTGCCCATAATTAGTCGTTGCTACGGACAGAGGCGCAATTACGGGCACAAGCATTTTTCAGTGTTTCTGGATGGTGGAATCGTGCGTGACGGGTAAGGACTGGCGAGGAAAAGTGCAGGTCCAAGGGTAACCCGACCAACCTCCCTTGTTGGAGGGGCAGAAAGGTAAATGATCTCCCAAATTTGTTGGACTTAGGCAATTCGGTCGTTCTGGGAGCAGAAGTGGATTGGGCAATGCCTAGCCATTGGGTCAGTCTGGATGCTGTTGTGACACAAAAACGTCCGTCGCCGGCGGGAACTGCTGATTTCCGATGTGCTTACGAGCTTTTCGGCGATTTCCTACAAGAAATTATGGGTTTTGTACCAGGAGAGTTTTCCCCCGAATGTGTCAGGGAGATTTCCCGGGCATATCCTCGTTGTTGGTTGTGCCATTTAAGTAGGGCTTAGGATGGGGACGTAGTCCTCGGGCCTTCGCGCGCCCTTTCACTTGACTAGCGGTGGAAGGGTGGATTTGGTTATGTCATCGAATTCACTTTTATCCTCTACTTTACAAGTAAAGGAGATGTCGCACGGAGCCAAAGAAGAAATCTTGATAAATTTTTCCGAGGAGAGCTCCTCGGAAGAAATTGAGACCGACGACGCTTCCACGCCTCCTGACGCTGGGGAAGTGCTCGTTTTGAGGAACACCGCCGAAGAATGGTCTGTGGCCGAACCAATGGAGCACACCTCACTTTTTGCTTCTTATACTGGGGATGTCTTCAAGACAGTGGGGGCCAAAGGAGAATGGAAGGTCCACTTCCCTAGAGAAGATGATCGCATATGCCCACAATACGGGGAAAGGTTCCCCATGTACAAATATAAGTTCAAGGAGATAGGGCTGAGGTTACCCTTTCAGATTTCCAGAGGGCAGTCTTCGTGCATTTAGAGCCTGTGTCGGAGAAGGCCACTGACTCACCCTTCGTCTAGGAGGTCTCTACAGATGAAAACGGGGAAGACTTGGTAGATTTGCACGACAAGGTACTAGTAAATCAAGGTACAAAAAAGCATATGAACAATCGACTTACAAGGTATTTAAAAATGACTTGATTTTAAATCAAGGTACTAGTTTGAATTATTTTTTTGTTGAACAAACATATGATGAATGGTATAAATATAATAAGGCATGATAAAGCGCACATGAGCAATAAATGGAAGCACCACACAAAAAAGTCATAAGTGATAACACGAAATCGTATATATATATATTGATGCATAATTCAACTGATGTTTAACTGTTTTCGATCCGATTTCAGGTTATTTTCGTGTTATTTGTCTGATGTTTTGAAGGTATTTGATAATCACGTCTAAACAAAGCAATATGAAGAAAAGAAGCAATCACAGATGAAATATGGAAGAAAACCGGATGAAAACAACATGAAAAACGTAAAATGCAGATTCTGCTGCTGTGACGACCGTCACAGCCCCATGACGACCGTCACACACCGTGACGACTGTCATGCAGGCAAAAACGCCCCACTTCAAATGCACGTGAAAGAAGCAGTTCCAAGTCCCAAATAGTGGACCACTACTCCCTGATAATTCTGCCTCAAAGTCCACCTTCTTCAAGTTATAACTGTTAGAATTCCATTTCTATAAAAAGGGAAGAAGGGGAACTCAGAAGGGGAGCCGCATTCAGACAACGAAGTGCTGCCAATTTATCTTCAGAGCAACCTTTCCAGTTTTTAATATTCTTATTTGTTTCTCTTTTCTTTTTCTGCATTCCTTTGATTCTTCTGTAATTCTTATTTCTGTTGTACGATCAATTGGCACAAAGACCAGAATCCTGCCAACATTTGTGGAGGATCTGCCCAAAGGTCAATTGGAATATTTACAGGTTTCTCATTTTAATCGTAATTCCGGTTTTCATTATGATGTATGCTATTATTTATTGTTTTCATTTATGTTTTACCTTTCCCAAATCCATGTCTAGCTAAATTAAAGTAATCGATATGTAATAATAATTCGGAAGGGATTTGATAATAACCGGTTGAAAATTGTCTTTTTCAAAAGTTGTTTATGGTATGAGTGTTTAAATTAATTTACTGAATAAACTTCGTCGCGAAAGCGAGAACTTATTTAAAAGTAGTTTTGCCACGAAAGTGGGAAATTAATTAAGGTACGAACCAACAAGCGAAAGTTGCGGCAAGACCAGATAGTAAACACTAGTCATTCATTTTAATAACAGCGAAAACACTTTAAAATGAATTAGAACTTAGAGATTTCCAAAAAATAATTTAAACCCCGAATGGGACACGAAAGTGTACGTTTGGCCCTTAGAATTATGATTAGCGTCAATAACCATCGTGAGGCGAGAGTCTTCAGATCACCATTTTCTGCTTAAATAAACTCTGAAAAATATTTCGTATACCGGTAACTTGTCAAATCCCCGAAGAACATAATTACTGCATATCGATTCACTTAATTATAATTTAATTAACATTCTTAGTTCCCTTTAGTGACAATCTTATTCCCTTAAACATTATCAACCTAGCTAAACATAGTAACTCCCGAGAACACTAGTTTGATTACGAGTCCCTGTGGGATCGATATCTATTATTACTACGTGATAGACTGTGCACTTGCAGTTAGGTTGTATTAGACATAGAAAGTCGCGATCAAGTTTTTGGCGCCGTTGCCGGGTGTCGCACCTCGAAAAATCACCTTCGAAAATATGACCCTCGCGCGAAAGGCGCGGAAATGCGGTTCGACAGAGTCGCCACCGAACTTTATTTTTCCCGAATAAACGGGAGAGGAAAATATCGAGAAAACCTCTTAAAACGAAAGGATAGGAACAGGGTTGTCGCATCCAAGTTCCGGGTTCGGGAGTCGGTTACGTGAGGGGAAGGTATTAGCACCCCTCACGTCCGTCGTACTCGACGGGAACCTCTTAAGGTAAATGTGGGGAGTGTTGTTTTAGGTTTACTTGTTTTCTTCTCGTTGTTAAAGGTAGAATTGGTAGGGGAAAAGGTTAAAGATGCTAAGGAGAGATGGGTGGTTGGAAGAATAGGGTGCTCGCCAAGGATTGGGGCCCTTGTGCCTACGTATGCTCATTCGGACGAGAATGAGAAATCAGAGCGTCGTAGTTCGACAACGGGAAAGGATGGGGGAGAACGGAAGATGGATAGAAGTGTGCTCGCCAAGATCATCGCAATCTTGTGCCTACGTATCTTATATTCGGACGAGAATGAAGAATCAGAGCAGTCGTAGTTCGTGGTTACAACCACGAAAAGAGGAGGTTGAATGGATTGAAAATTTGGAAAAGGGACGAAAGAGTGACCGACAAGCAACCCAAGAGCACGCCTCGAGAGCTTGTCAGTCAAGAATTCAAGGAATGCGAGACTCCAGGAACTCAATTCTTTCGGGAATTGACTGAAGAAAAAGCGTTGGATATTTTGAAATTGAAAGAATAAACTAATAACAACTCAAGGGCGCGCCTCGAGAGTCACTCATTCAAATATTCAAAGAATGCTAGATTCTAGAATATCTCTCTTTCGTAAGTTTTAAAAATGTTTGTGAAAGGGTCGAATCGAAGAATGGCATGCGAGGCCAAAAGGAAGTTGTTTTGAACTGGTTCGACGACGTGTCGAAGATTTGATTGAAGATGGAACCGACTTGACGACGTGTCAAGTGTTAAGGTTGTGAGAAACGATATTAGTCCCTGAGGGTGCTCCTAATATCGAGACCACGAGGAATTGTGAATGAAACGTGTTGCGAATGCGGACGAGCATTCGACTTAGGAGAACGATAGGAAAAATGATTGAGTTTGAAAGAAAGTCAAAAGGTTGAGTGAATAACAACTCAAGAGCATGCCTCGAGAGCTATTCACTCGAAGATTCAAGGAATGCTAGATTCCAAGAATCTCCTTCTTTCGAAGTTTGATCGAGAAAAATATTTTAAAAAGGATTTGAAGCGAAATGGGGTATGAAAATAATTTGTGAATGTGTGAGAAGTGAGAACGCGAGATTGGATTTGAAAATATCGATTATTTAATAAATGAGACGTCGGCCCCACAACTAAATAATCGGGGTATTATCGAAATGCTAGATTCCAATAACACCATTTTTATTTGAAAAATGTTGGAATGAACAAAGAAAATATCACACAGAATGTTAGATTCCTATGATATTGTTTTGTTCTAAATCGCGTACTAAAATGAAAAATTGAATGACATATTTATTTAAGGTGTACACCCCAATAATGTTTGTCCAAAAATTCAAGAAGTGCTAGACTTCAAGAATTTAATTTTTTCATGACTTGATTGAAAAAATAATTTTAATGTTGAAAATAAATTGAATCTAAGAAAAATGATTAGTCATGTTTTAAAAATACGTTCGAAAATAATCTGAGATTTTATTTAGAAAACATTTAA